GACCCAGCACAAGTCCAGAAAATGTGGAGCGAATACGGCCATGAGACGCATTGAGCTTTCTGTTGTGGTGTCCACATCCTCACTTAAAACTTTTCAGCCTATTGGAAAAAAAACTTTATTACTTGCAGTAATACATGCAAAAGACAGAATTGAAATATCTTGTTTATGTTCGAAGTTATGAATTTTTGAAGTTGTAAGGATAATTTTGGAACACCCTGTATCTTTTTAGCAAGTAGAAATTGAATTTTTGCTTTAAATGAGAAGATTTCATTAATCCTTCCTTAAAACAAGAGGATCAAAATTTAAAACTCAAAAATAATTTTATGTGTTCATACATGTTGTTTACATCGATAACCATTCTGAGCTTTTCATACTCAAAGGCACGAGAACTGCTGAAATTTAAACACGTCTGGCGAGCTGTACAGTTTTATATGTACAGTTTTGAAAGTACAACTATTCTAGACAAAGAAGAAGTAGTGCATTATTTACGTCACACTAGGGCTACATAATGGGCTATTGGCAACTGACAGTACAAGGCAAAAATTAGCACATCCTAGGAATTTGACTAAGCGATTCCGAATGTTTTACTTAGCTTACAAATGTTATTGTTCCGTGGTGGCTCAGAGGATAGAGCGCTCACCTCTCAATGAGGTTAACCGGGATCAAATCCTCAGTGGTAGACGGATCATGGGTTAGAGTCCGCTTGCCATCAGGCTAACTATGGGAGGTTTTCGTGGTTTTCTTCTCCATGTAACTCAAATGCGCGTTAGTTCTATCAAAAATCCTCCACGAAGTTAAATATCTCCCAATACTTGATCCAGGAGTTCCCTAGTCTCTTGGATAGGATTCAAAATTACAGGGCTACGGAGTTGAACATTGGTAATCGTAAACTGAAAATCCGGTCTCTGTTCAGCAACGGTTATAAAGTATTAAAAAAAGTCTCCATGGTTCACCGTGGTGGCTCAGGAGAAAGAAGGCTAGCCTCCCAATGAGGTGTGATGGGTTTGAATCCCTGTGATGGCTGGTCGATACTAATTTCGCTTCCGGCTTGCACCAACCACAGTGCTAACGTAAACTACCCTCACGTAAAATATCCTCATCGGTTAGAGCCCCTTGCAGTCAGTCCTTGCAATATTTTCGGGGTTTTCCCCTTGATGTAACGCAAATGTGGGATAGAGACATCAAAAAGTCCTGCACAAAGGCAAATTTTTCCTAATACTTAACCCAGGAATTCCCTTGTCTTATGGATGGGGTTCAAAGTTACAAGGCAAAGTTACAAAGTAGTCGTAAACTCAAAATTGAGTCGGCTGTTTAACGACGGTTGTAAAATAAAAAAAAAAAATCTCCATAGTTCAGCATGTTTTAATTTTGTACTTGGCTGCACACAATTGAACTTACTATGAATAAATGTAACATCAAGTCTATCATGATGAATTCGATTAATCATCAATCCGAGAAGCCGTGGCTCAAGGATTAAAGCGCTCGCCTTCCAATGAGGTGACCTAGGTTAAAATTCCAGTCACGCCTGTTGAATACGAATTCTGCGCCTAGCTTCCACTTCTGACTTAAAATATCCTTCTTGGCATTTGCAGTCAAGCTAACTGTAGGAGGTTTTAGTGATTTTTCTCTCCATGCAACGCAAATGCGAGTTAGTTTCAACAAAAAGTCCTCTACCATGACTAGTTTGTTCCAATGTTTGATCCAGGAGTTACCATGACTTCGAAAACCATGTCTTCAAAATGGCAAGAATAGTCGTGAACTCGCAATTGGGTCTGCAGTTTAACTCAGATTATAAAATTAAACTAAATCATCCACACATTGTGGGGATTCCTTAACTTCGATATCACTGATATTCAATCCAGTTTTTCACATCAGCTCATCCTGATGATTAAAAATCTTGTTTCATTCACATAATGCTGATTCCCTAGTTAATGATATAGGTTCCACATCTATCTTCAATTTGCTTGGAGAGGTATGCTGCAACGATTAACCTTTCTCAGCCACCCTCACTCGATTTGGCTACCGCGGTTTTATTTTTTTCCTCTCTATTTTAAAACCCATTTCTTTCGTTGAATACTTCCCGTTTTCCTTTTTATTTCAATTTTATTTTATTTTCATCTTTCGCGTGAGGTGGATCTTGAGAATGAGTGCCCTAGTCCGAGTGCTTGAAACGTGCAGACAACTTTTTCACCTTTTGGTACTTTTGAAGCAAAAGCAAATTTCCCCTCCCCACTGGTTTTTGATTTATTAAGCAATAACTAATTTATAAGCAATATATTTATATTGATTATAAATTAATTATTGTTAATTATTATTAATTATAAATTAATTATAACCGGGTATGCAGGGCGCTGGACTCACGTTAGAGAGAACGGGAGTTCGAATCCAACCGTCCCAAGACTCCACGTGTAGCAAATGACTGATGAACGTTAAATCAGTCGGGTCACAAAGTCCTCTATGTTCCATTAACAAATTGATACCTCAGGGGGTATAGAATTGGTGATTGCTCGTTGTCTGGTTCAGCACGAAATTAAGATCTGCGGATGAATGAATGGAAGTATGAATCGGTACGCCCTACAAACGAGTGGGACGTATGGGTTGGGCAGAAGTCTAATTCTTGGCCATAGATGACACCATTGGAAAACAAGAACAATCGCACCCCCTCTGCCTTAATGGCAGACAACAACATTAACAATACAAGAAATTTTAAATTTATAGAAAAAGTCTCAATCTAATAAAAAAAAACATTAAAAGTTTGCTAAGAGATTACAAGGTTTTTTAAAGGTATTTAAAAAGATTTTTTTTAATATAAAAAATATTCAAAGTTTTTCCTTTCAACAAGTGCGTATGCGTGAAAGATAAACTGCAGTTTAATATCGCTTTTTAATTTTATTTTAGATGGCTGTACTAAAACCAGTTTTTGGTATCTATTACTCCATTACTTTTTACGCTACTTTTAGTTAACGTCTGAAAGTTGTTTGGTTAATATTGCTTGAAACTCGCATATTTGGAAACTCTAAATATTGCTCTGATTATAACTCAAATATATAATAAAAGAGCTATAAAAATAATGTCTTCCTTTCTGTATATAAATGCTTATTTATTTTTTTAACTTTTGCCCTTTAATATTGAAAAATATGAATCACTCAAAATAACGACAATTTTATTTTGAAGTCATTTTAATAAATGTATTTAAACACCAAGATGCAGTTTATAAAATAATAAATTTTAAATAATATTTATATTAAGTGTAATTTTCATTATCAAATACAATTTTGTCACATCAATAAGATTGGCTCAGCCAATCAGGTTTGACACACGCGCGTAACGTTGCTCGCAAGTAGTCAATTAAATCTGTTCCGAAAATTGATTCAGCGTGATGATAAACCCAAGCCCAAAAGCTGATGCGTTAACACGTTACGTCAATCTTTTCATTTTACTTTTTTTTAATTTGACATTTTTAGGAATCTTACTAAAAATAAAGAGTATATGGACAGATACAACCTAACAAAAATACAACGGATTCCTTAAAGAGTAAATAAAGAACTGGCTACCCTGAATAACTTTTGATCTAATGATCGGATCTTCACGTTCTGGGACTCAATCTTAATAGTTTGAAGGGGTGACCTCAAATATACTAATTAACTACTGCAGTCGATATTTTAAGTTACAAAAGACGTACTTTCTCTGATAAAGCATTTCTTCCCTTCGGATTACGATTTCTGAACCCCCAAAATATATAGATGGTACCCACAATCTGGGAAATATGGTCCAAATAATTTGGTCCAGAGAGCGTTATAAATTTTAAACCCCTTAGGGTTGATTTTACTTTTTGCGTATTTTACCGTGTCTCGCGAGCTTTTTAAGTGAATTGAAAATTTTTTGCACAAAATTCGTAAATTAATTTTTTCAAAAGTAATTCAAGACAAAAAATTACTTTTAGTAAATACTTATTTTTTATTATTTTATTTAATATTAGTCAAAAATTTTGAATTGTAAGATATAAAATTTCATATGTTACTTTAAAGCATGGAATTTTACAAGCAAAATATAAAATAGTGAAATTGGTCCAATAGTTCCATAGAAATCTAATTTCAAAGACGTATTTTAAAATTTCGATTTCTCAGAAGCAATTTGACAGATATTAAATAATTTTTGTATTTTGCTATGTAAAGTTATATTTTTTTTAACATGATGTAAAAAATTGTTTACCTTGCAATTCAAAATTTTTTCGACTAATTATAAATAAAAAAAAAAATATAAGTATTTACTAAAAGTTATTTTTTCACAGAATTATCATTGGAAAAATGAATTTAATAATTGCGTGCAAAAAGTTTCAATTCACTTAAAAAGTTCGAGATGTAGAGAAATACGAAAAAGTAAAATTAACATTAAGGGGTTCGAACTTTGGACCGCTCTCCTGACCAAATTATTGGGACCATATTTCCCAGATTGCGGCTACCCCCTATATATTTTGGGGTTAGAAATTTGAATCCGTCAAAAAAAATAATAATGTTTAATCCGAGAAAGTAAGTTGTGTCCGTCTGCACTAATTAATTAGCGTATTTCAAGTCACCCCCTCAAAACATTAAGATTAAGTCCTTAAACGTGAGGATCAGATCATTAGATCAAAAGTTATTCAGAGTGGATACTATGGGGGGAATTTTCAGTAACTATATAAGATTATGGTAGTTTTTTTTCCTTCGATATAAATCTAACTAAATCAAATCTGAAAATGTTTGTTTTATCCAGTAATTAACTCTACTTTAATCTTGATGTGAAAAAAACATTAATATTAAGCTATGAATTTAAAATTCAACAAAAAAATAATTTATGAAATCAAAAATTCAAAAGTACATAAATTTATATACTTATTAGATATAAATTTATATACTTATTTGATTAAATAAATCACGATTTAGTAAAAATAAAACGTTGAATAATGGGAAACAAAATAAATTAACAAATTGAAATTAATGAATAAATTATTACAAAATCAATAGTTTTAATTGCACTTTACTAAAATGTAATCAAAACAATATCACTGAAAATATTCCAACTTCGATATGCAAATAAATAATGTATTACAAAAGAAAAACAAATTAGATTATTCTTTTTATATATACAAACGACAAAACAATTATAAAATGTCTCTAGATAAAATACGCAAGGATCATTTGGTAACTAGAATCTATTTTGTGACGCATTTCTGAACATTCTTCTTAATTTCTTGAAGCTTGTGTATCACAGCGGCTATATTCAAACGTAGACTTGGCTCTTCAGACCAACAACATTTAGCAGTTTCTTCATAAGCGTCACAAGAGGGAGCTTGGAACATTGGTCTGAATCCGTAATGTGCAACCTGCAACAATGTTAAGGACTAAAATATCTTTCAGCATGCTGTATAATTGGCATTCTTATAAAAAGTTAAGTATTCAAACGACAAACGACAAAAAAGAAAAAAGACAAGCAGACCAACGATTTACTTTCGGTTTGGTATGTTTGAAAGTTTGATTCATTTGGTTGTTAAGTCTCAATAAACAGCACACTATCAGGCTATTGGACTTTACCTTAAAAAACAGTATTGTGAATGCGATGCATTTCCAAGCATTCTATACCCGAAAAAGAAGGAACAAATCCATCACCAATAGAGAGGAACTTTGGGATTGAAGGACTAGTGCCACACGCTTTTGGTTTTTGTAATCTTGCGACCTGGCCTCCGCACCACACTGCCCGGCCAAGAGTACTAAAGGGAATTTTGAACCCCTAAGACACGGTCTGAGGAAGTGCAGTCAGAGAAAATTTTGAAATTTTATTTATTTATTTTGCGTTATTCTGATTTCGAATATGCAAAGAATTTCTTTCAGTACTCTATACTTTTAGAGATTCTTCATCACTAAATTTTAAAGCATGCAAAATCCACAAGTCTACTAGAAAAGTGGTATTTTAAAATAATTTTGACCCTATTTCATACGAAAAAACTTTGTTTTAAGAATATGCAGATGGAAAGAAAAGTAGACATGATTCTAGCGTACAAAAATCAGCGCTCTTTCTCAAGACTTACCAGACATGGATTTTATGATCTGAAACTGATATAAAAAAATTGAGCTTACACAGAGAAAAACTTTTTCTTATTTTGATATCAGCACACCAAAATAACTCAAAATCAGTTTAAATATTTTAATTTTTAACTCAATTTGTTTAAAAAATTGGCTTTTATATAAAAACTTGATATCTTTTCTCAAATTAATGTCCACCCTGATTAATTAGCATGTTTTGGATCGTGCTTTTTAGTTCAAGAAAATCGGATCATTTGATCGAAACGTCATTCAATCAACATCACTCAATGTTTCCCCACTGCCATGATGACCGCCTTATTAATTTTTTTAACAGTTTTTATCTACCAGGTGTTTTTAAGTTTCCCAAACCATATCTTTCTAAACAATGATTCATGGTGCAGCATCACATGAAATTTCTCTTGCTGGTCTTGCTTTTTTTAAACTTAGTTTGCTTTGTTATTTTTCGATGCAGCGAGTAAATAAATGGATAGAAGAATAATTTGAAAATGAGTCACGGAATAGGCGAAGGCGAAACAGTTTGCAAATAAAGTTTATAAACCTACGATTCATGGAAAGGCAGTTAACGACTGATTATAAAGCGAAAACGACCGACTATAACGATGTTTTCTCTCTCCTTCCGCCAACATGACATAATTATAACACAGATGCAGGAACTAGATCAGTCATGCTACAACTGTTGCCACTTCATTGAAAAAAAATAATAAAACCAGAGGCAAAATAATAAACAAAACGAAATAATTGGGTATACTATAGCCTACGTCACAGGTTGTGTTATTCCTACTAAATTTAACTCATGAACGGCATTTTCTGCGAGCCTAACTTCAAGCCACAAATAAACAAACGAAGTGTTTGATCGTTTAAATAGCTGCTCGCCAGATTTTAATGCATTATAAAGAAAAGTAATTGATATTCGATTTTTGATTAATAATTGATTTATGTGGATAGTGGCATTTATGTGGATAGTGGCATAGAATTTAGCATTGCGTCATGGTAAATGTTATTCCTACTAAGTGGAAGTAGTTGTGTTTTTTTTATATTATACCCAATTGAAGCGGTCAGTGTTAAAAGGGGGCATGTAACATTTTTGCGAAAATAATTTTTGTTGATTTTGGAATATCAATCACCAATTATCAAATACCGAGTAATTTTCTAGACTGCTTAAAGAAGAGAATCCAATGATTTGGAAAAAAATTTCAAACTATCTTTCCACAATTGATACAGTTTTTTAAGTAATTTTTCTTGTAAGTGCAGAACTGTAACTTACTCCCTTTTATCATTGAGCGCTTCAATTATTCAAACTAATTAAAATTATAGAAAGCTACAGGGAAGGAACAATTGAGACACATATACAAACTTTATAAAATAATTATAGAAAATGAGGTAATGAAAATGAGATTTCGTAATAGCGCAGAATATATTTTACAATAAAGTTAAACAAAAACTAGCAAAACTCAAAATTATGAAAGTTTTTCTTAACGAAAAAATGTTGGAATTTTTTTTCCCTGATGGAGAAATTTTCTCATTCAACTAAAAGTGTGTGTATTTATTAAGCTTGTATTTATTGAGAGTACTTTAAATTTTACTAGAATTAAATATTTTGGGAATCGTTGCCTCAAACTTATTAGAAAAAATTGCCATAAATACATCTATGGTAATCTATGACAACCACAGAACTTTTTATGTCAAGGTACCGCACGCCTATGGTAACCATAGAAATGTGTATGGTATTAAATGGCGGGGACACCATATTACATATGGTATGATCAAAATGAAGCATAGGCATATGGCAAACTAATGGAAACACACTATACGCATCCATCATGTATTTGGGAGTGAACATGGTAATAAATGTTGCCATGACTTATTAAAAAATTTAATCATATGCTATAGCACATTATAGTCTTATAACAAAAATTTATATGAAAAAATACCATGGAATTCACCACAGGCAAAACCACATAGGGAAATCCTACGACATTTTTTATGGAAATCCTGTGGCACTTTTTATGGAAATCCTATGCCGAATTTTTCTAAGGAGTCGCAATAACAATGTTAAAATGATCGTTCTTTTCCTTTAACACTTAGAAAGAGGCGAAAGCGAGAGGATGCAAAATTAAATCACCTAAATAGGAAAAACAATCAACTGTAATTGATTAAAGCAATTACTTACTTTATAGATTATAACATGAGGATGTTCTCCAGCAAAAGGAAGCTCCCTTGTATGCACTTGCCACAGTAATATGCCAAATGAATAAATGTCAGAAAATAAGGTAGGTGAGGCGCCCCTTAAGACTTCAGGAGCCGCGTAAAAAGCTGTTCCAATGACGTCCTCATTTTGCATCCACAGATTATTGACGAAAGAATCCAGTTTAAAACTGTGGCCAAAATCACCCAGTTTGCAAACTCCAAATGGACTCACGATCACATTAGCAGGTTTAACGTCACCGTGGACAATGCGACGTTGATGGCAATGTCGTAATCCCAGAGCAATCTGAATCGTGAAGCTAAATAAAAATAATCTAATTGGTCACAATTTTTATTAATGTTTGTTAAAAGAAAGTACTGAAGAAGATACGTCGAAAAATCATATAAATTTTAGCTCTTTCCTTAATTTTGTTATTATATTGTTTATTAAATTTAATACTAAACAAACTCTTCAATTTTAGATAGTTCTGTAATAATTATCCTTAACACATCTTAAAATAATAGAAAATAACTTTCCTTTTTATAAAACCTTTATAATGGAATAAAACAGCACATTAGGTGTCAAAAATTAAATACAAGTGAGGGAAAAGGCATGAAAAGAAAAAATAACATTTTATCAATATCTGACGAAGTATAATCAGAGAAAATCAAAACAATAGAGGTGTGAAAATTGTCAAAAGCCCTCTAATTGGTGGAATGGAGGTCTATTATAAAAACTAAGTTCCAACTTCGCAAAAGAAATGGGTTAGTTCGATTTTTAATCCCACCTTCACTCTGTATGCTAGAGACGATTTTTACCCTTCCCTTAATTAATAATTTTCTGTAAAACAATGTACTACATCGATATTATATGAAAACGCTAATGCTTATATATGGTGACTAAATGAGTAAAAATTCCTTTTCTCAAACAACTCTTTAGGAACAAAAATACGAAACAAATTGAGCTGTAAGATATGCTTCAATGAAAGTTTAAAAGCGAACAGTCTTATTTTTCAATATATATATACTATATACATATAGAACAACAAACAATTCTATTTTTTATTTCAACTATACTATTTATTTTAGGTAGGTAACTTAATAATTTAAAGCTATGCTTTAATTTTAATGATGCTTAATAATTAACGCAATAGAAAGATTAATTTTTATCAATAGAGGGCCTGAAATACGTTGCTCATTGGATGAATCTAAACTTTTGTTCAAACTGCTTTCTTTTTTTAAAACCATTTTCTTTGTTTTTAACATTCTATAAATTTGGTATTTGTACCAAATATGACTTCCGTGTATCATTGAAATTTACAATCAGTTTTGTACGATATCACAATAGAGCTAGCAAAGAGAATTTCTTCTCTCAAAGGCAAGCTCATTCATGGTGTGTGAAGACTACAGCTATAGTGGTCAACTGAACTGTTCTCTTCCTCATGTCGCATAAAGGCCATCAATTAGCAAAAGAAGTAAATTGATTTCTATTTGCAAGGAGATTTAGTGGCACTAGTCATATTTTCTAGCAGAACTATGTCTCCAATTTACACTGAAAAATCTTCACAGTGGTGGTTTTCAAATAGCTTGGTTGTCATGAATCGCCAAGAAAACGTGGAAGAGGAATCTATCCTAAGTATGGCTGTATAAACCAAAAATAAGCAGTTTCAATCTGTGGTAGAATTGAAGGTTGCAATATAGGCAAGCAGTAGGTGTTTGGTGAAACTAATTACATAAAAAGCTATTAATTGAATAAATACCTTTAATGACCACACACACTTTTTTTTGTCCAAACTGCGAATTAGTTTCAGTGGAAATTTTAAAACGAAACAAATGCTTGACACCCTTAATAAATACTTCACTTTCTAATTTTTTTCACAATAAAAGACAAAAGTTCGCACATTACGGGTCAGCTAAGAAAGCCTGACCCATAATGTACAAACTTCTGTATGGATATATGGTCCAGCTGTCTTATATAGGAAAGCTAAGGAAGAACAAAAACACTTTCTAACTATGACGAGTCCCATGTGAGGCAATTAAACTGATTTTGAATTTTCTTTCTTCCACTACAGATTCGACAGGTTTTAACAGCATTTTCGTCTCTTCCTTGCTTAAACATAAATTACAACCCCAGATGTGCAATTTTTTTAAAATTAATTTTTGTCAAAGATTCAAAAGATACATAAGGACATGTTTACAGAGCGGCAAGTATTTTTGTTTTTAAATATTTTTTTCGCATTAAGAAACTCTTAAGCAAATAAAACGAAGCCTGTGTAAGATATTTTATACCTTAGTCTTCTTGGGAAATCCAGTTCGCTTTTTGTATCAAGAATTTGCTGGAGGTTACATTGTCCTGCAAACTCCATGCATATGAATACTTTGTCCAGTAGAGTAGTAATATGTAGAATGGATACTAAATGAGGATGACGTATATTTATGAAATTACGCTCGCCAATGAAAGTAGTTTTATCATGAATAACCTTCAAAGCAATTTTTGATCCTACAAAAGAAATTATATTTTAAAAGCTGTCTAGTGACATAATTTAAATAGCTTAAGCAAAAATGACGTAACAAATTTTTTTTTATTTCCATGTCCGACTCCAAAATAGTTTTTCACTCTATCAAAAAGAAAAGTCTTAGTTCTTAAAGAAAAAAATTTAATAGCTATTCGTTCTTTAACTCGCTAGTAACTTAGAACACAGTGGACCGATTTAAGAAATGCCAACTACTTCCGTGTTCTGTCAAAGATTTTCACCGAGTATTAAACGTGGTTGCCAAATTTATGTATTACAATTTTATTTAAAAGGATTTTGCAAACCCAGATATAGAAACTATTCAAAATATATGTAAGTAACCTGATAAGCAGATTGGGATAATTTTGAAGGCTTTCAAAATTTTAAAAAATTTTTTTTGTTAGTATTGCGTACTTTAAATAGAAACCTATTTCATTATTGCTTTAAATAATATGGAAAGCCATGACTTTTGGGTAAATGAAATTCTAAATGATATGTAAACCAGAATCAGCTTTACTTGGTCCAACGTAAACATTGTTACGGTTTCTTGGTAAAATAATTCTGTTGCAAGAAATATCCATACGGTAAAAAATTTTGGTGTATAGTTTGGGTAGCAGTGGCCAATATTTGTCAGACTATAGCGCTACCTATAATACATATTTAACAACGCATCTCCATTTGGGGTAGCCATTTACAATAAAAAAGTCATTGCTTAAATATTGATTTTCTTAATTCTCAGCTACATTAATTCTTAGTTCTAAATTCTCATCAACAAATTAAAATGCGTGATAAGCTTTATCGAAAAACACAGATGATTTTTTACCTCTTTTTACAATGATGGAGAACAGCCTTATTGAATTTATAAAAAGTAAAAACAAAAAATATGCATGAAGCCATACCTTTATATGTACACAGTGTAACATTTCCAAAAGATCCTCTGCCAAGGAATACACCTTTACGTTCAAAGGCGTACAGGGGACTTCTCATAGGAGTCGGTTGCTTGTACGTAGGAGATTCATACTTAAGAGATAGGTTCAGTTTTGGTGAGAACGGTAGAGACAGAAATCCAGAGTTCCTGAAACAGACATGTTTAACAATGAATTTCGAGCTGAAGTTGTTCCAGTGAATGATTGCTACATTAAATTTTTAAGCTAACAGTTGTTCCGGAAAATTAATTCGTATATTAACAATTAATTTTGCAAAGGATTGATTCTTTACAAAAAAAATTTTTTTTACAAAAAATTAAGCTGAACAGGCAAAAAATAAAATGAAAATTAAACAAAATTGGTAAACTAGGCAGAAGATTTATATTCATTATCATAGAAGGCATGGTAAGTGCAAATATTTGGAAATAATGTAGCAAGCAGAGTTTAGTTTGAGTTATGCAACTTTTTTTCCCCCAAGATCACATCCAAGGGGTTTATATTACTGTTTTAAGCTACCAGTATCCTTCTAAAAATCGTAGAAATCAGGGAAAAATTAGTAATAAAACAGAGGTAATTGGTGATAATGAAAAATTTACAGAATACTACAAAATCTTCAAAAACTAAGTTTTGCAATTAGAATACATGGATAAAATTTTTTTTATTTTTCTAACATTTAAAAAGGCAAACTTAGTATTTTAAAAATATATTTGGTGGCGATAAAAATGTATTATTTAAGTAATGGGTTCTACGTTCTTGTTTTAGATTTGACAAAAATTATTCTTTCTTACAAGGGAAATCTGCATTTGTAAAATTCCTAATGAAGAGAAATTATGGGGTAAGATAGGACCACTTCCAATGTTTTAGTCTATTTAGTATTTTAAAAAAAACTAAAACAATACAAAGTGTGGCACAAAGGATTTGCAATCCACCTTCTACCTGGAAGGTCCCAGGTTCCCCGTTAGACACTATTTATAATTTTCGTTTAACACTAGAAAGACTGAAATTTAGTATGTACCTATACTGCCCAAAAGCAGTCAAAAAGATTGGATTGTAAAAGTATAAATACATGTGTAAAGAAATTTGTTTAAAATTAATTTTTAATATTTTTTATATTATTTACAGTTATATAACAACTTATTAGTAAATATTAACAATGAAAAAATTATATGTTGTTGCAAAAGTCTAAGAAATTGTGTCATTATATACATCGTTGTTTTTCTAACTGAAATTAAAAGCAGTCAAAATGACTTCCTTAGGCAATCTAGTGTTAATAAACTTGAAAAAAAAAAATGAAACTGCAATATATATAATTTCATTTTTCGAACTGAAGTACATGAATCATTTAAAAAAATTTTGGTGCTTTTATTTGAAAATGTTTTTTATAAAAATAATTATAAACTTAATTACGAAAATTAAGAGAATTTTTAAATTTTTCTCTGTTTTTCTTTTGTAATTGAATTAAATGAAAAGTGAAGAAATGATAGAAATAAATAATTAAGAATTTTTTTTTAAAATGAAAAAAAAAATTTCTTTGAAAAAAAAACTAAATTAGGAGAAATGTTTTATTAAAATGAAATTTAAAAAACCATTTTTTTTTTAAATTTTTTTTATTCCAGAAAAAGTTTTGCCTTTAAAAAAGCAGTCAAATTTTTCAACCATCATTATTATCTTTAAAGAAACATTTAGATAAAATAAAATATAAAAACAATCGAAATCAATAAAATATTTGAATAGTTAACTAAATTTTGTAAATATTTCTTCCATATACTTCAAATAAAAAAAAACAGAAGCTAATTGCATTTTATTATTGTCATACAGCACAGAACTTCAATTGAAATTAAGGGACTCTAGCTAGTTGGACAGTGGTCGAAATATAGATTAATGACAATATAGTAATCAAACTTTTTAGCAATCCGAAAATGATCTAAACGTGTATTATTATTAGACACGGGGAATCGTGAAGATTTGAGAACTCTAGTTGCCCGGAAAAATGGTTGAAGCTTTAATTGATGATACATTTCTTTTGACAGTAATATAACAATAATTCTCCTTATAGAGATCAGGAAGAGAATGAAACCCTCTTTGAAACCAGAATTTAGGCTCTTGTAGATGGTTAAGTGCTCTAGTTAGTTAGAGAATTTGCGAAAATTGTGATTGCAAGATTGTACCAAACTTATACAAAAAGGATCGGAGAAAAATTTTAAATAATAATGTAAATAAAGTTTATTATTAAAAAAATTGTAGTACAATCTTTAATTTATAATTTTTTTTCTTCATTTTTTTTAAAAATGTGTAAAAATACAGAAGCACGATCATTTAACAAATAGTAATAGTAGCATTACTTTATCGACGTTGCATAAGTGCTGCACAATGAGCTATTGGCGACGGTCTGGAAACATTCCTCAGAATGATCAGAAGATATGCAATCGCAATTTTGATCTGCTTTGGAGATGGCTCCTCCTCTTTGGTAACCAAATTTGTGATAAAATAGTTTATCGAGGACCGATACCGCACTTTCTCGATCCCTTCGTAAACTGATCAAAGTGGTGCTTACTGACCACAGTCAGCGATACTTGTCTTTGGTGATCTACTGGGAACAGTTTCCTTATGATCAGTTCATTATGAGACTAAAACAAATAGCTAATTTAAAATATAGTAAAACTTTAGGGAACATCAACTCTCATTATTAAGGCGAAGCGAAGCAGTAAATAGAGATTAATAGTATTGATCAGCAATACTAATTGTAAAATAAACACAGATTAAATTTTTTCCGATAGAAAAATATCTGTAAATAGAAATAAAAGTTTAAATCTAGCCTCAAAATATTGACTACGACTTAAGAATATCAAACGATAACTCGTTAAAGCTTAAAATTGGGATAGTAAGAATCCATTTTAAAAATGCTGAAACAGTTCAACTTACCCAGCTTCCTTGATCTTAGACATGACCCCAAACTGATCTTGCGTTGCAGAAGCTGGACTACTCGGAGAAATCCGAACATCAGGTAAATCTTCGATATTCCAATTCAACTTTTTAAACGATCGTCTGATATTTTTTCGAGCTTCTATTTTTTCAGGTCTGAGTTCCTTAAAATTTTCGGACGCTATTAAGCGAGAAAAAGATGCCAGTCTTTCCCTTTTGGGGAGTTTCGGCGTGGTCTGTAAATTTACTCTCAGATCTCCATTTGATGATTGCAGCATTCCAGATGAAGGAGAAGGCATAAATCTCATGGCAGCCATTAAAACACTAACTTCTAACAATAGAAAAAAAATCTCTTTTTCCTAATATTTCTGATTTCTAAACCTTCTTAATCTCAATTATTAATATTTTCAGAAATTAGGTCAATAATATTTTACTTTTACTAAGCATGAAGGGCTGCAAGAAATCTGCGCTATTATGTTGAGATATCAGAGTCATTATTATAGACATCTTGAAAGGGCTTTCTTTTTAGTTTTTCATTGTAAATTTATACATATTGAAAAAAAAATCACTTTTCAATCTTTTAAAGTATTTTTAAAAGCAAAGCAATGATGAAAAACCGGGTCCAATGTTGAAAATATGGATTACATGGAAATGCATACTCTACCCCAGTAATAAGAAACTATTGAATGCTATGACTGTGCCCTACAGTAAAATATTAAATCTTTAGCCATAACTTGAGGTCTTGTTTCATCATATTAGAACGATTATTAGTCTTTTGGTGAAAGCAAATTGATTACAGTCACAGTTTTGAAAATAAGAAATAAAAATTAAAACTGATATGTATGGTGAGTTTATTTATTGTTATACATACATAAACAGGCTTGCATGCTCTCTACAAAGTGTGCCTTATTAGGTCTTGGAAAGTTTAAGAGCAGATAGCACAAGTTAGAGAGGAATATCACGAAGTTATATCCAGTGCTACAGTGAAATTCGAACTTGCGACCTACATTTACTTTTACTGATTTTGATTAATTTATTTTTGTACATGTGTATGCAGGCTTCTGGGCTCAATATAGAGAAGATATCGTAAACATTTATCAATTTAAAGAATAGGCAGCACAAACTAGAGAAGTACAGCACATAGATACATCCAGGGCTGAGGTGGGATTCAAACCAGCTACCTCTACACTTCAAAAAGTTTGGCAGAAGGATAATTCCTCAAGGCCTTTTTATTTATATAGACACATATACAGTAATACTTATGTGCTCAATATAAATAACGGCTTATAAACACTTGTTTTAAGAATTGATAGAGCATGTCAAAGAATGACAGCATCACAAGATACATTCAATGGTTACGGAGATTAGAATCTGCTACCCCTACGATATACTATATGGTGGTATTGTTTATTTGGAAAGTTCGTTACATTTTTATTTTATTAAACAGTATTGTATATTCAACTGATGCATGTCAAACCAAAGAAGTGATTTCCTGGAATGCATCATACTTACCGTGATGACTAACAGGTTGCGAGCTTGAATCTGAATCCAATGAATGTCAATCTGTACCAATTTTATATAGTTTTTGCACGAGAACTACAGTTCTGAACATAGAAATTTATTTAGTTACCTCAACGCCAAAAATGGTGGCAAGTATATATCAATTTTTGCACAGTGTATGACTTGGGTAATATATGTCCCAGTAGTCTTTTTAATTTTACTCGAAAAGTCAATCAAAAAGATTAATGGCACCTCAATGTCCCAGAGCCTGAGTGCAATTCAGATTTTTTAAAAGAAAAAAAAAACTTGTTTTTTAAGATCATCAATAGTAAGAAAACAATGCACTGCCAAAAAAAAATTTCACAACAAAAAATTAAAAATCAGTATTGAAAATGTTAACGTCTACTATCTCATTACATGGATTTTTAATCTATATATTTTCCACGAGGAAAAAGTAATTAAATTTATTGACGTTTAAGGTAACTTATTTTCTCATCTTCAAATGAAATACTCTTGCCAGGAAATATGGATATCACGTTCGGTAAATATTCTCTTTGAGACATCATTAGGTTGACTAGACTGCTTTTTCGCATTTCAGAAAAACATTAATGTACTTTAAGTAGTGACGATTCGAGTAGTGCTTATATATGTAAGAAAACTACAGCGAATTACAATTATAACGAACAAATTTTATTTTACTTTTTAAAACCGCCATTGAACAGCCGACCCAATTTTGGGCTTACGACTACCAATGTTTGTAACTTTGAACTTAATCCAGAGGACATGGGAACTCCAGGATCAAGTATTGAAAGAAATTTGACTTCGTGGAGGGTTTTTTGATGGAACTTACCCTCTTTTGCGTTACATGGTGAGGAAGACCACGAAAACATCCCACTGTTAGCCTGACAGCAAAGGGATTCTAACCCATGATCTGAGAATTTTTATTTTTATGCCGGCCAGGTGGCTGTCCCGTAGTGGATTGATCGTTAAGACACGGTTCCCAGCAGATTACCGAAGTCAAGCATCACTGGCTGCGGTCAGTGTGCGGGTGAGGGACCACTTGGATCAGTCTGCGTAGGGACCGAGGGTGGGCGGTATTGGTCCTCGTTAAACTGTTCTACCGTAAAGTGCTCGACTTCGCGTGCAGGTCGTCGGGCTACCGAAGCGGGGGTGCCATCCCCTCTGCAAAGGATCAAAATTGTAATGGCATGTCTTCGGTTCATCCTCAGGGATGGTTCCCAGACCGTCGCCAATAGCCCATTGTGCAGCTCTAGTGCGACGTAAATGAAGAACAACAACAACATAAAGAGGAATATAAATATGGAATTAGTTCTTTATAAATATGCAGGGTGTACCTTCAAGACTCTGCTTAAAATATATTTATATTTAGATTCATTGTCAAAAATTAAGTCAAAAATATACACATTAATGGTTACTATTTAATATTTAAGAAAGGAAGAAACATAAGCTGTATCGAAAGCTAACAAAACACCACTGAGTAAATTAGGCCAAAAATATCAAAGATTGTATGATTCCCGAAGGAAACAGACAGAAGTTAAAAGGCGGTTATTAGAAACGTCTCCTAAGCAATCAAGTCAGTTTTTACGTTTTTGATCCCGACTTCCTAGCTAGTAATACGTCAGATTTGGATGATGTTTTTGTCTCTTTTTCCCTAAAATATTTATTTTCAACCTCTATGAGTAGGGATGCTTATACCTTTTTTGTTGTTGTTTCTAATGTCACTTACCACGTGGACAAGCCTGCATGGTGAAACCGAGCAAATTTAAGACAGAGTGTGCGTTTCTTGTTTTTCGGTGGCGCCATCTATGGCCAAGAATTCGACTTCATACCATACGTTGAACCCGTTTATGGGGCGAACCCATTCGTACATCCATTCATTCATCCACAGTTCGTAATTTTGACCTGAATCAGAGAACGATCGATCTCCAATCCAGTACCCCCAGAGGTTTTGATTTGTTATGGGAACATGGAGGACTTTTGCGATTCAACAGATTTAACTTGCATCAGTCACTTTACTACACGGGGAGTCTTCGGCCGGCGAGGTTCGACCTCGCGAACTCTCGGACCTGGGCTCAGCACTCTACCGATCAGACTATCCCGGCCAACTTTTTTGATTGCATTTTTGATACGTATAGAGAATTTTTGTTCTTATTTACGTCACAGGCTTTGCCTTGAACTTCTGTACGCCACTGTACAGAGCGCAATAATTCCGTATGATAAATATGCATACATGATAAGTCCCGCAGTGGACTTATCGTCAAGACACGGTTCCCAGCAGATCACCGAAGTCAAACATCACTGGCTGTGGTCAGTGTGCGGGTGGGTGACCACTTGGATCAGTCTGCGTAGGGACCGAGGGTGTGCGGTATTGGTCCTCGTTAAACTGTTCTATTGTAAAGTGCTCGACTTCGCGTGCAGGTCGTTAGGATACCGAAGCAGGGATGCCATCCCCTCTGCAGATGATCAAAATTGTGATGGCTTGTCTTCGGATCATCCTCAGGGATGTTTCCCAGACCGTCACCAATAGCCCATTGTGCAGCTCTAGTGCAACGTAAATTAACAACAACTACAACTGCATGTATGATAAATGTGCCGTATGATAAATGAGCAGGGATTTGGTTCTTCAGTAAAAACAAAGCTTTTAAAATAGCAAGTAAGAATGCAGCTTGTAAAATATAGAAAGATTTGATGAGACATTAATCTCTCGGCTGCTACAGTCAATTAAACTGAAGATTTATCATTCTCATTCCTTCACTGTATCTGTAGTTTTCTTTTTGTTTATTATTCTGAATTTAATAAACAAAAAAATAATTTTATTGTTACCAAAAATAATTTTTGCTTTATTGGTTTGGAATTCCCATTAAATTAATAATGCTGATTGCTTTCCATGACTTCATAGTTTGAAAAAAAAAGGTTTTAATGTTAATTTTTGACACTAAATTCTTTCAATTTATACTTCCTGTATTTATATCGGAACTGTGAATTTCATATATCTTTTTCTCTGAGATACTTTTTGTAAACACTACTTTTTGTATTGGCTCTGTAATTAATGATTAATGTTTTTACCCAATACTTACTACTTTTTTGTGCTAAAAATGAATACGTTTTAAATTGATCTGTATTTTAAGGCCCTATAACTTCATCTGTTATGTACTCAGTGGCGTACCTAGAACTTTTGCCGCCCGGAGCGATCTCCAGTTTGCCGCCCTTTCTATTATAAGTCAATCAAATAGTGGTTTTTATAAATTAATACACATAAATAAATTATTAAGTTATTTAATCAATATTAATTAATACACAGAGTAAATTTTTTAGACATATTTGTATGCACTCGTAAACATATTTATATAATATCTACTCTTCTAGCTTTCATACTAGAAAAATCGTGTATAATGCTCTCAAAATTTATATTATTTGTAATTTCTTGTTCTATTGACAATATTGCAAGATTTTGTAGTCTTAATTGACTCATTGTAGAACGAAGATAATTTTTTTATCAACTTCAGTTTTGAGAAGCTACTTTCGCAACTAGCGACACTGATTGAAATTGTTAAAAAAATTCTTAACAAAATTACAATGTTGGGAACAGAATTTTCCAACCTATACTGCTGAATAAATTTTAGCAGATCAAGAGGGCCCTTCTCCCCGTTTTTCTAATGTTTTGCTTCTTCTTTTACGCCCGTATTCACCATTGACCCTAACCCTCAGTCAGAGTTCAAAACAGGTTTTATGAGAGCAACTCTAGGTTAGAGTCCAAAATTTCATTTCACCGTGTACGTAACTGCGAGTTACTCTAACCCAGAGTTAAGTAACTTTAACCTGAAGGTATTCCCGGTTAGAGTAACCGGGCATGCGCAGTAAACGAGTGTTTGCTCATTTACTTCGTTTTNGCTTTGATTGTATTATTAGGACGTTTTACTCCTTCGCTGAAGTCGGCGTCCAAATTTTGAATTGCAAAGGGACCTTGACGTACCAGAAATACTCTTGTATTGTCGTCAATTTTGTTAGGCCATAATCCAATATCTTTCATAGAAATAGACGGAATAATTTGTGCAGCAGATTCTTCATCAGAACTTGATGAACTTTCTACTTCTTCGCCAGTGTGTGAAGCAGGTCTTTCCTCTTGAACAACATTGGAAAATGTTTTTTCGCCTTCGAGGGCTGCTTCTTCGCCCGTATTTGAGGCAACAATACTAAAAGAACTAGAAGTTGACTTATGGGAGATATATTTGAGTAGTGCTCCAGTATTTTTAGTCTGTATTTCCTCCCTTCTCTTCCTTTTCTTTCTAAATGACGCACCACTTTCTTTTACTCGTTTCATCCTAGGGATATATAATAAAAATATAACTTGTCGAAATAAATAGTATATTATGTATAGAAAACGGCAAAGTCATTTTACTACTCTGAATAGCATTTAGAATAACATCTATATCTATAATACGTAATATAATATACTTACCTATAATAAACTCTCCAAATGCACTGGCACCCTAATAATTTGCTTCACTCTTCACTGTTAAAAGATTGAATCGCGAATGAACAAAATCGTTTATAAGCAATTTATTATTCCAAATACAATTCTTCAAAACGGACTGAGTATATTTATCTATTTGCGATTCCTGAAATTTTATTTTATTTTATAACCGTCGTTGAACAGCCGACCCAAGTTCATGGGTTTACGACTACTAACGTTCAACTCCGTAGCCTTGTAATTTTGAACCAATCCAGAAGCCAAGGAAACTCCTGGATCAGTACCCCCAGAGGTATTGATTTGTTGTGGGATTATGGAGGACTTTGAGACTCGACAGATTTAACGTGCATCAGTCACCATTTACTACACGGGGAGTCTTCGGCCGGCGAGGATCGAACCCACGACCTCTTGGATATGGGCCCAGCGCCCTACCGACCAGACTATCCCGGCCCCCGATTCCTGAAATTTTGACTTCGTCAGTATTTTTGTTTTGTCTCGTTTAGATTTTGTTGTTTGAAAAAGATAGTTCTTATGCCGGCGCCCTAATGCTTTGCAGACCTAGCAGACCGGTGGTCTGCTAGGTCATCCGCTTTCCCGCCTAAACCGCCTTCCGCCGGCCCTGCTTTTCAAAAGAAAAATCGGTGATTTAAAAAAATATTAATATATCACTTCAAAGTAATCATATAAACTTTTCAAAAGAAATGACATTTATAAACTGATATCAAAAAATTTTAGTTAGGAAAAATTGCCGAGCAAAATCGTAAAGATCCTTTTACGAATTCATTGAATTTTAATGAATACAATAAAATAAAATTATTATCTTGTTCTTGAATTAGAATTCAGAATTTACACTAAAATGCATTTATATACACCGAGGAATAATATTCGAAATCATATAGTTAATCATAATTTATATAAACCAAATATTAAACTTATAATAAACATAATAATCATTTATTATTCAAGAAAGAAAATAAATATGAAATGAATAAGTTGCTTTTTACAACTATAAGTAAATATAAAAAATGCCGCCCCAAGGTAAGTGCCGCCCGGAGCGGACCGCCCCCACCGCCCCCCCCTAGGTACGCCACTGTATGTACTTGTTAAATTAAATTTTCCTCAGGTTTTATTATTATTTTCATTATTTGAGCAAGGTTATGTTTGTATTATCTATTTGGCTTAGTGAAGTACGTAATATTTGAAACTTTAAATTGTAAAATAAAGTACAAGTATTCTATCTTTTGAAGTATGTAAGTTCAAAAAGTGTGAATTACTAAAGCATATAATAAGGATTCATCTTTCATATTATCTGATTTTTTATTAGTAAATAATAATTATTATTTTAGATTTTTATCATGGAAATTTTAAATATATTGTTTCTGATATCACTCGTTTGAGTTGCATTCTATATGGTAAAATAATAATAATTCAGAGGTGTTTTGTATAAAATTAGACAAATAGTATGCATACAATGATACACTCAAAGAGTATTCAGTGCGAAGTTCATGAATATTTCTCTATCTGTGTGTGTTTGCGCCAACTACAAGTGCAAATGTGCTAAAGGGTTTTTAAACTTGCAAAAAAAAAAAAAAAAAGAAGTTGATACCGATCTGGGAAATATTTCAAAATTTCTCGAGGGCCACTGCTTGGCAATAGTCAAAACTTGACCTATACCTTTTTCTAAGTCATTAAGAATAATCTTAACATTTACACTGCCAATAAATGCTGTGTGAATTAAAACATTTTCATAGGCATGTCAGGACAATCTTTAAAATAATCAAAAAAGTCATCTGAAATTTATAAATGCTGTTATGTCCACAATCTATTATCATTTCTTTGGGTACATGACAAGGGTGAAAAGCAGCTAAACTCTGTTAATTATTTAATTAATTAATCAAATAGTCTACAGCGATGTTGAGTGTCACCAGATAAAGCTTCCAGTTATTTATATAGTAATTATTATGTTATATTTTAGTTCTTGCTGAGCAGGGTAAAATATCACAAGATTTTTAAACAAAATAACTTTATTTTTAATCTTTTTTAAGGCTGTGCCTAGTATTAACATTTATTTTTAAATCTTCAAGGTAAATTGTTATAAAACTTTATTTGAGCTGCTCCTACGCGCATATTTTGCAATGTCTTGTTAAATGTGTATCCATGTTTTCTGAAATGTCATGAATAATAATTTAATAATTTCAGCTATATTAATAAAAAGTTACATGTACAATTAATTTTGTAATGTTTACAGAATTTATTTTATAAATAAAAAAAAAATTACTTCTTTTAATTGCTGAAACTTCATTCTCTTTCTAGCTTCTAATGGATAATGGTAAATAAACTTAACCTCAGAAAAAAAATGGTGTTAAAATTTTAATATTATCTGTAAAGCTAAATAAATATATTTTCTTCAGACTATTATTACTAACAGACTATTCAGTCTTTTCACTACAGCGCGAGAATCTCTCCTATTTTTTTCTTTTCTCGCAATAAAAAACGATTAACGCTAGAAGTTCACGCACTCTATTAATCAATTTCAAAAAGCACGAATTTTGGAAAAAATTTTGTCTTTTGCCATTTTGAATAAAATCCGTTTCACTTTTCTTCCTTAATCTTTCATTATTTTGAACATCGGTCCTTGTTATCTAGTTTCCCTATTTATCAGTATTGTTCAGAACCGGTGCGAACAGCAGAGCACCCCCCATGGAACCCCTTTCAGAACACATTTCTCTGCAACCACGTATTCACCATAGGTAAGGTTTCTTCATGTAAGATATTTACATTTTTTGTGCATGAATGTAAGATGGACAAATACCTTGTTAAAGCGACATCTTCTACTCCGTAACGGACAAATGAAAGTGAAACAAATGTCGGTCAAAAAGGAAACAGATACGGATATTTTTCAGCCAAATAAATATAATAGCCGATGAAAAAGTAGATATAGAACATTTTCCATGTAATGATGCAGCAAAAATATTCAATTAGAAGATGTGAAAAATGTATTATAATTAAAGAAATATTTTTTTTCCAAGTCTATTCGTGTTTTTTTAATTTTTAGAAATCTCACTTAACTTTTTGAAATCTCACCCTGTTTTTGAGAAAGGGTGAGAAATTTTCTCCCATTTGTTTTCTGTAATGAATACATCGCTATTATTAAAAATAAATGGCCTGTTAAAGAGATAATTATTCTTTTTATTTCGTTTATTTATATTTAGATTAACCATGAAGAGGAAAAAAAGTCCTTTGCAGAACCGTAGAGGGGGTACCTCTTCAGACAGTAATGATTCTGCAAAGCTGAGTGCTCCTCATCACGGATATGTTACCACATCCAGTCCTTCTGTTCTTCATCCTCCATCATTTCATATTAATGTTTCTCCTGCATCTTTGTCTGGATCTTCACAAGCTGTGAATACAACTACTGATGATTGGGGCACCACTGATGAGACAGGTGAACCTGTAAGTCTGTAATAGATATTACAGTTTTTAAATCTAGAAATTTTGAATACAGAATTTTGACTCTCAACAATAAAAAAACTGTTTGTTTAAAAAAAAACATGAAATCTAACATGTTTATACATTTTTTTAAAATTATTTTTTAGAGACATTAAAAAAAGCTTTTTATAAAATTTGATCCTACAAAGCAGACTTTTGTACAAACTTCAGTTCCCTAAATGGGTTTATTCTTGGTTGTTAAAAATCTTTCACAAATTTTTATTTGTGTAAAATTTTTGTAATTCTTCTATTATAAGCATTTTTTATTGTGTTTAATTCTATAAAACAAAATGAATTTACAATTATTTGATCTGTTTAAGGTTCTTTGCAAAGCAATTGTTTATTAATTTGCTTTATTGTATTCCTAAAGCAAATATTGCTTAATGCATATTTCCAGTTGATCCATTCTTAGCCAAGATATAAAATTTATTTTTCTGTATTCTTGTTTTCATTGTATTTTTGTTAGATATACAACCTAACTTTAACTGTCATTTCTAGTTTTTTTCTCTTTTTTTTATTGCTTTTTAAAATGTTTAAAAAACTGGCACATTTGTTTCATTCTAGACATGTTGCTTTAATGTCTATTTGAATATTTTCTGATATATGAAATGGTTTGCCTAACATCATTTTTTGTTAGTCTTTGTATAACTACCAGCCCTCAATTTCCTTTTTAACAACCACCATTATTTTTTGTTTTACTTTTAACTGGTTATGGGAAGCATGTAAAAAGGTATTTTAAAATTGTCTTAAAAGGAAGGAAATTTTCACAAATAGTCAGATACTTTTACTGAAATTTTCAATGAAGTGGTCTTCAAGAAATTTATGAATTTCTTCTTTAAATCCAAATTCGGTTTCCAGAAGCAAAGTTTTATATTAAAGTAATTATAATTTATTGAAAATTTTCGTGCCAAACCCAGATTTCCTTAATATTAATGCTCCCAATATATGAATTTTACTTACACCTATTTTTTTTTATGTACAAGTCTTCATTATGATTATTTTTTTATTATTACTTTTAATTTGTACTTAATTACTTGTTGGCATTCATTATAAATAAATTTTTTTTGTATTTTATTCTAGGAAGCTGCTGGATTGAGTGGTAGTTTACCATCTTTAGGCAGTAATGAAGGTCTGCACTTTTCTGATGAGTGTGATTTCAATTCATCCCACCCTCCTGACCTATCGAAAACTAAGGCAGCAATCGAGCACATTCAGCAGAAAATATATCGAACAAAGGAACTCATAAAAGCAGAGCAAACTGCCAGAGATGGTTTGTTTATTTTTGTTTGCCACTAACACTTAATATTTCCATCATTATTTGCAAATAGTTTAATTATTTTAGTATAATGTATTCTCAAGTTTTGTTAAAACATATTTTTTATGCAAGAAATTTTCATATGATGTGAAACAGGAAGTGTTACTCTAGTTTTAATATCAGAAATATTACTAAAATTAGGCTTAGCAAGTGAATTATACATTTCCTGTATAAAAATGTTTGTTATAGCATTTTTAAAGCTTTATTAAACTATGTCTTTTAATAAAATTTACTTAATCTAGAGGAGCAGGGAACAGGAAATTTGGTTAAAATACTGTAATAGTTAGGGGAAATGAAGGAATTGAGTCAGTTTTCTGTGCCTATATGTCCAATATTTTTTCCAATAAAAAATTAATCCTTGATATTATTATTATTATATATATATATATATATTTTTGATCTCTTAATATTTTAATTTGAAAATTAAATAATGAAATTTATGTCACCAGTTACACAAATCAGGGAATACAATAAAATTAATTTAGCCTCGGAATTTCTTTTTCCTCTTAGTGTTGATAGCCCCCCTTTTAAATTAAAATATGTATTTCTCTTTCTTTTCTATTACGTACAATTAAACTCAATTTTAATTTTATAAATTTTTTACCTTTTAGAAAATGTGAATGAATATTTAAAACTTGCAACTAATGCAGACAAACAACAACTTCAGAGAATCAAAAATGTGTTTGAAAAGAAAAACCAAAAATCAGCTCAGCTTATAACACAGTTGCAAAAGAAACTGGAAAACTATAACAAGAGAATACGAGATTTGGAAACTCATGGTTTACCTCGAGGTGTTCTAAGAGATATGGGACAAGGATTAAAGTAATTAGTTTGCCTTATTTTCATTCTGTCCTGCAAGTTGTGTGCCAAATAAATGAATTCAGCTATTTAATTCTATTAATTATTTGGGGCAAAGGTTTCTCTGTTTAGAATTATAATTGATTTTTTCACGTGTATTAATTTAAAAAAAATTGCATTTTGTTTTATTCCATTTACAAAAATAAGCAAATAATGTATTCATTCTTATTCATTATTATTCATCTTCATTAAGTTTCCGATTGAATATCCATTAAAAGTCCCTCCATATAATTTATTTTATCACATGTTGTCAGGGTTTGTAGTTGTCCTGATATTTTTGACTTTCCTGATAAAAAATATTTTGTCCTTGTTTTTACTAATTGTTGCTTTTTGCCCTGATATTCCTAATTTGTGTGTGTGTTAAGAATTTTTGTGTGTTTTATACTGTTTCCTAAGTATTAAAAAGGGGATTTTAAAAAATCGATTTAAAAAAAATCAGGCTATTTGGATTTTTCATTTAATTAACTTTTTATTTTAATTCATGATGCAAGTAAAAACTGCAGAATCCGATAGTTCGAACTTGGGAAGCGTCTACTTATTTATTATATGCATTATATAGACATACATCAATACCTGCAGGATTCATGTTTTAATTTTGTTTTTGGAAATAGTTTTTTGTATAGAAGGAAAGTTGTCAAACAATTTAAATTGTCAAATTATCATAGTAAGAAATTAAAGGGTCGTATGCTTACTTATTATTTTTAGCAAATACTGTTACAAATTTTGCAGGTTTCAACTTTGTAAATTCTCATTAATTCGTCTCTTTCATCTGATTTTTGAAATGATTAATTCCTATCAGCAATGCCGTAATCATATCATAGAATTTTTAATAATCCATTAAATTACTTTTGTCCAAAAATATTTAGCAGCATATTCACTTTGTTTACATGTCAATATTTTTAAAACTTTGAAATTATTTGATGAAGGAATGCTTGAACTTGATTTTAAAGTTTAATTAAATATTGGCATGAGGGAATATTATCTAATTGATAGTGGCTATTCTTTTTTCCTTAATACAGCAGTACTATAAAAGTTTAATTCATATTGATCTCAAACTATTATGAGTTGTTCAGAATTCTGTGTTAAACTTTCTGTCCTAGACAAAGCAAGTTTGGAATTTAAAAAAAAACTATACTTTTATTACTTTTGTGATAAACTTGTCCTTATTATACTTAAGTAAAGCAGATTTTTATTATTTTTTTTTTTCGTTCTTAGTTTGCCTTTCTTAAAAGTAGCCTTCTATACTCATCAAAAAAATTTTGTATTTTTTTAAATTTTTTTTAGCACATAACAAAGCCTTATGTGTGCAAAAAGTACACTATTAAAATTTTATATATTTTATAGTAAATATTTCTTACAAATATTTATCACGAAGTAAAAGTTACTGCTGTTTCAAAAAAAGTTTCTTAATGAAGTTAAATGATAAAAAACTAAATTTATATCTGAAAAAAATTAAATGAACAAATATGCTCAGTATATTACAAAATCTGAAATATATTTTCTAACTATTTAAGAAATTATAAAATTTTTGATTAGCAATATATTAAAGTGGTAATTTTATTTCTTAAAGTGGTTTGATAATTTTTATATGAATGATAAATGTTTGTTAAAATTAGATATTATTTTTCTTCTTATTTAATCATTCATCAACAATATCTAATTTTAGATATATATCTCGAAACAAAATGGACCAACATTAGTTAGAATTTTTGTTAACTATTCCTACATTGTATGCTCTTTTTACTAAACTAAACTCATTGGCACAACAGCCCAAGGATGGCCAGGCCTACTCTGCCCATTCTAATTTTCTTGACCTTGGGCTTTGGGGTGCAGAAGCAGATGTTGCAGTTGGGTTACGAATACAAAACACCCAGTGTTTAGTCCCCAAACATGCTTGGTACTCATTTTATCAGCCCACTGAAAGCATGAAAGGTTGGTAAGGGTGCTAAATAAGCCTTTAATAAGCCTTTGCTAAATAAGCTCTCATTTTTTTTCTTTTTTTTTTGCAATGAAAAACTAAAGGAATTTTATTTTCAGTGTGGCAACTTATTTGGCAGTGTGGTTCTTATTTTGTGATCTGTGGAAGCAACTGAATTGGTTAAACATAAAAAAATTGCTGAAATTTTTTAAGAAAATTAAATTTTGTTTTATTTATCTATTTTATTTTTTAAATTTATCAGAACATATTTGTGTTAATATTAAAAATTTTTTAAAATGTTTGCTAAAATTTTAAGAAATTTTCTCATTAACTACATTTTTTTTTACAAAAATTTTCTGTTTGTCACAATAAAATTTATGACCTTATTAAACTTGATTTTTCAAATTTTTTTTCAATTTTGTTTTAATTCTATCTTTTTTTTTTAATTACTTACCCTAAGTATATTGAGCAATTATAGAACAGTAGCTGTTGTCGTGAAGTGTGTTGGTTATATCGCGAGGTGGCACCATGGGCTCCTTTTTCCTATTTCTGCAACTAGCTATTACAGAAATGCTTTACTTTCAAATAAAATATTAGTAGTGACACTTCAATTGTTGTCAAATAATTTAGCTGCATTTTATGGCTTTGAAATTTGATGCAATGTCACTTTCAGGGATGTTGGAGCCAATATCAAAGGTGGCATTTCTGGATTATCTGGGTAATTATATTTTATATCATTCATTTCTTAATGTAAATAACTTTTTTTGTGTAAAAACTTAAATCTGAATATTATAGGCTAATCTTTAAAATTATCTATGTACTTATAAATATTTGAATTTATAAATGTTTTTTTTTTAAAAAAAAAATTACCAGCCTCTTTCTTTTTGTTTTCATCCATTATTTGAGATACATCCCAAGTGTCTAGAGATATCAATTTAGCTGACCGTAAAGTGCCTAAAATATTTAGGCAAAATTTTTTTTATTTAGATTTTTATGTGTAAATAATGTTTAACACATTTTAATAAAAATTAATTTATTTAAATTTTTTTTTATTTTAAAAATTAGAATCACAGTTATAAAAAGAAGCTTTAATAACCCTTAGTATTTTATAATAGCATACAGTTTTTTATTATTTTTATATGTAAAAAAATAAATAGGAATAAGCTAAAATGTGTATCCTAAGTTAGTCTGTGTTAAATTTTTTTTTCCATGTGTAATTTACGTAGTGTTTTGAAGCACTGAAGTTCTGCATGTGAGTTTGCTTTTCTTACCATTTCTTGCATGTATTATACCTGATAATTGTGATAAATTAACTTTTTATTCTTCTTTTGATAAATCTTTATGTTTGCTTTCCTCTTCTTTACTTGATATTTCTTTATTGTAAAGAAAAGTATTTTTCATGTGAAATTCAGTATTTTTATTTAAATGTATGCAGCGTTAATTAATTATATTCATTGATGTGTTAATTATTATGCTGCATCAGAGGAGTTGTTGGCAGCTTGAAAGGAGGGCGTTTAGGTCGTGCCTCAATCGCCCATACAGCTGCAGAGTAAGTCATTTCTGTATTCTATTTTACTTTAAATTATGATTAGAAATATATTTTCAAGAATTTGAAGTTAACTAATTTTTAGAATTATTTTAAAATATTTTTTATTGTAATTTGTTGTTAGTTGAAACATTGTATGAATCAATCAAAATTAAACATGTTTTTTTTGTTTAAATATATAATGTTTTCAATATTATCTATGTCATTAATTTGTTAGTATAATTTTTTTTTAAGAAAATGAAGAGGCATGTTTGTATTTCTTTCCACTCTTAGTTTATAAATTTAAAGTCCCTCCATATAATTTAT